TGGAAGACCTCGGCCATGGTGGTGGTCGTGGGTATGGGGGCGGTGGAGACGGCGAGGGTGGAGGGGTTCATGGTGGCGGTGGTCATGGGGTCGCTGAGGGAACCGATGGAGGCGGAGAGGATGTCGGGGAAGTGGTCGTCGTCGAGGAGGCCGTCGAAGTCGTTGTTCGGGGAGTTGGCGCTCGAGATATCCGAATAGCCGGACTGGCTCGACGTTGAATTTGCAGAGTTGAGCTTGTTCTTGCGCCGGGTGCGTTCCGCCTTGTCCCGCCGCTCGTCCATCTCGGGCCGGATCTTCTTGGGCCGCCCCCGTTTTACCACCTTCCGCACGACGCCGTCAAAGGCGCCGATGCACATGCCCCGCTGCCTGTGGCGAGTGAGCGCATCGTGCCGGGCGAAGCTGTTGCCGCACTCGCATGGGTAGGGCTTGATGCCCGTGTGGATCTTGGCGTGCCGCTTGAGGTCGTGCTGCCGTACGAAACACTTCTTGCACGTTGGGCATTGATACTGCCGGTCGTTCAAGTGCGTCTGGACATGGCTCTTGATGTTCTCCTTGCGGCCAAACGGCTTGTTGCATCCCTCATAGAGACACCGCCCACTTGCCGTCCGATGGGTCCGGCCCCTGGATAAATGCTGCGATGTCATCGATGCTGACGCCCGTCTCGGTCTTGGTTTCCTCAATGTTGATATCCGCGATACTCGCCGCACTGGTAGCTGACGCAATAGATTCAGTCCGGCGGTGCGGGGAGCCGCGGCAAGATGGTGCCTCGTTGATGGGCGATGGCGGAACGAGTGGAGGAATCGTGTTAAGCGACTCAAACGTAAGTGGGGGAAATTCTGACTTGTCACCGAACCCGTTGTCTGACTTCATAAACGAGAACATGGACGGTCCATCTACTGGACTGGCGGGAATACTCCCATACCCGCGCTCAAACCTCCTCAGCTCGGCACTGATGGTGCGCATATTCATGAACTCAGGAGTCTGGAGCCCGGGGTTTGGTATCGCCATCGGGATCGTGTTCGCGCGCGGCGGTGTGTGGGCCATGGCCTCTGCTTGCTGGCGAAGGTCCTGGAAAACGCCCGAGTTTCTGTTGTTGTTCTTTGTGCGTATGGGCTTAAGGGTTTCCTCCATTGACTCATCGTAGCCCTCAGAGAACCTGTTGAGGGTTTGTTGCTGCAACGGCGTTGTCTCGTTTTTTATCGACGCATCGACTGGCGTTTGAGGGAAGTACTCTAGGGACGTGTAGTTAGTATCTATACCTGCATTTCAGGCGGCTGAGCCGTGATACATACCATTTGTGATTTGCCCACTGGGAGTGCATGGCCTTCCCGAGCTCTCGAAACCACCTTCAGCGGCCTGGAACTTGGCGCTCACCCGCCGTGAGGAACGGCGCGAGTGGGTGCTTGCTGTTTCCGTTTCCGATCCCCAGCCCTGACCCTCGCCACCCGGGCTGGAGTCTGGGAAAGTCATAAAGCTCGGCGTCGAGAGGGCGCTGTCGGAGCCAAAGAAGTCAAACTCTCGGGCAGGGTCAATGCCGGTACCATTGAGCTGGTTGATAGTGCGCTCAAACGGTGCAAGAGACCCCGGATAGGCTTCGAACGGTAGGCCATGCGCCTCGGTCAGTGGCCCTTGCCCAGGCAGTGCGTTGGTGAAGCGGCGGCTTTGCGGGGTGACCTGCGGCGAGATCAGGAAGTTGTCGGTGTTGTTTTGCTCGGTGAACGTGTTCTGGTTCAAGCCGGGCCGTGATGCTCGCTGTTGCGGTGTTCCTCGCAGCACCTGTTGTGGTCTTGTTGCGGGCCCTGGGCTGTTTGACTGCTGGATAGCGAGTGGCACGTATCCTCGCCGCACTGTCGTGTTTGCTGGTGCCGGTGCGAGTGGCTGCGCCCGTGTGTCTAAACTCAGCCCCCGCCGGTGGGATACTGGCCGGCGTTGCTGAAGATTGGGCAGGGGCGCAATTGCCACTGCATCGAACGCCGATGGTGTCGAGTTTTGTCGCCTGTGTTGGCGTTGGCGCGCGTGGAGGCCGCTCATCTTGGGTGGATTCATACAGGATAGCGCAGGGGCCGATCCCGAGAGAAATAGATATTTATTGTAGTTGGATGCCGCAACTGCCGCCCTCGAAGAGCACCGGACCCGGTTCGTTTCCAAAACTGCAGCAACCTTTACATTATTAGCCACCGTTCTTTCGTTGCCCATCCTACCACTTCTATGATGGAGATGAAGCGCACCTCAGTGTATAAACCTGGCAGCCGGGGGTGGATCTGATGGAGAGAGGTGCAAGCCAAGATGGAGCCGCTTCTGGCCGGGCTGGTATGAGAAAGGGCCTGACTCGCCGACGGTTTTCTCTTGTGTTCTCGGTCGGAGAAAGTGCAGTTCTTTGTTTGCGAGTTCGAGATACTCAGCGGTACCAATGGGACTTGGGAAAAGCCTCGAGCCAGAAAAAGGATTCCAGCAGATAACCGTGGCAGAAGTGTGGAGTTTGGCGATATTTGCGAGTCCAGGGTGCTGAAAACGGGCGAATCGACCCTGATGGTTGCAGTGCGGTTTTGTTTACCTGCGACGGCACAGCGCGTTGCTAGGGACAACACAGGTGGCGGCTGCCACAATCGCCGCATTGATTGGCGCGCAGCCATGGGTGGGGTCATGTCTCACACGACGTCATTCGACTTGTGGGTGCCTGCGATCGGTTTTGGCTTGGCGACATCGAGTGCTTCATTCAGCCTTGGGCCTCGGGAAAAGATTGCAATTGTTTTTAGCACCCGCCTTCCCTCTCTTGACAAACAACCTTTCTTGCCTTTTTTCTCTTTTTATTCTTCTTTTTTTCTTTTCTGTCCTTCTGTCTTTCTTTCCTTTTTTCCTGTTTTCTTTTTTTTTTTTTTTTTTCTTTTTTTTTTCTTTTCATTCGCACAAGATTGTCACAAGTTTTGACCATCTCAAGCCTGGCAACGCTTGGCGTTTCCGCGAGTAATTTGTTGTACGAAGTATTTTGATTCCCGACCCTTAAACATGGTCGAGTTGTATGCTTGGGGTATCACTCAATGAGTTTCGTTTGGCAGAGCGAGACAGACGACTACGCTGCATCCGGACAGCATTCTACCGTTCTACTAGAGTCACAGCTCATGTATTTCTCGACCTCGACCCGCTCTAGGCTTTTCTCCATGCCTGGTCCAGCATCTCCTTCACCCTCAGCGGCTTGATCTCCGGAAACGTCTCGTTCAGAAAGGCCTTCGTGGGTTTCAGGTCGCAAATGCCGTACTCAAACCAGAGGCCAAAAGCGGCGGCCATGGCCTGCTGGGGTTCTTTCGGGAAGAACGGGTACGAGGGAATCTGGGCCGGGAGTTCGGTGGTCTGGCCCAACTTCAGCTTCTCCGTGCTGTCGTAGGCGACGTTGAACTTGGTCCCTACACCGCGTCAGCATGGGGCGAAATGAGAGACAACTTGGGGACACGCTACCCTTGGCGTCCTCGGCCCAGTGGAGAAACTCATTCCACGTCACCCGGTCGCCGAAGATGTATGTATCGGGTTCCCACTTCGGGAGGTCTAAGCTGGCAGCGACAAACCGTGCGACGTCGGTGGTGTGGGTGAAGATCGCGGGCGTGTTGCCGGACCCCGGGATCGCCGCCGCGTTGTTGGCGATATCTAGCCAAAACACTAGGGGCATCCGGGCCAGCCACGACTTGACGACGGGGATGCCCCAGTAGTCCATGAAGTAGCCATTGTGGAACACGGTGTACTCTAGGTTCTCTGTTTTCTCGAGTTCTCTGCGTGCATTGGACTTGTGGATTTCTGAAGCGATCGCACTCGACTGGACACTACGCGGGTTTTATGGTAAGACATTGTCTAGGGAAACCGGGGCAGATAGGTGTGTAACTAGACCGCAGCATGAGCAGACTTACGGGCGGCTCTGGACGGGCGTGCCCCACCCGCTCGATATGAGTCGCCGGGTGGTTTTGGACAGGTCCGCAGCTCGGATCAGCTCGAGTTCATTCGGCGTGCTGCCATCAGCGCTGTGCATGGCAATTCCCGAGACCACCGTATCGATGTTGTTGTCTTCAAGCACTTTCACGATGGCATTGACGTCAGAATAGTCAACCGGGACAATGGGCGCGCCGATCTCGGCCTCGAGTTCTGGGTTTGGCTAAAGCGTGTACTTGGTAAGCCGCGTGTGAATGGCTGGACCCCCAGGGCATGCCAAAAACGGTAAGTTGACGGCGGCCGGGGAGTGGCATGGGTGTTATGGCCCTGCTCTATTCGTACCTTTCGAGACAGGATCTTGACTTCATACTTCCCAGTGGCTAGGATGGCCTCAACGATAGCCCTACCCACATTACCTGTCCCCCCTGCAACTGCGACGCTGGCAATAGGTGCCATAATGCGATGATGTGGTAGGATGGTTGTTGGTTGGGTTACTTGGGCGGTTTTGGATTCGATTTAAGCAGCAAGACCAGCTGATTCAGGTCGTTGATCTTGTGGAATCAAAATCACAGATGGTTGGACATAATACCCAATATTTTATACTGTCTCTCTCCTCTTCCCAAGTTCCCGCGATGATGCGATGTCATCTTCGCATCTTCTCAGTCCGAACTGCTGAGCTGACATGCATGGACCTCTCACAGCACCTGAGCACAGATCAGGTCACAGGTCAGTCCCTCGGATGCAGATTGATTCCGGCTTTCCCGGACCCCCCGATTCGGAAGCTTACCAATAGCCAAAGCCGATCGCCCAAGAGAGCCGATAACCCAATCGGGCGGCGGGCCGACAGTGTCTTTCGGATTTTCGCGATTTCTCAGCAATCTTGGCCGAACTGGCAATCGCGGAAGCAATTTGCATCCGGTTTGGGGGGTTGACCAGCCGGAGTCATTTTGCTCCCGGATTTAAAACTTATACACTCCTGCAACCCAAACCTCCAATTCCAGACCTACAGATGTCCACCAAACACGCTTTGTGGTCAGCATAGTTTGTGGCTATGTTACCTAATCGTCAATCCTCGGAATCTGATCTTGAAATGGCCCCCGACACTCCGCCCGCAAGAAAAACGCGAGGACCACGTGTTTCGCGGGTAAGTACATGCCGTTGATGAGGTAATGGATTGAGAATAATGATCTTATCAAACGATTTAGGCATGTACACGATGTAGGACAGGAAAACTGCGATGCGATGGCCAAACGCCTGCTTGCGCGCCATGTGCCGATCGGGGTCATCGCTGTGTTTATCCGGCCACTCAGAGACTGCGCGGGCCTGGAAAGAGGTAATACAGGTCAAGCATGAAGCACCCCTTAAGACAATGTGGCATCTGTGCTCACAGCCATATGCAGTAAACAACGGATCGAGGCCCTCGAATGGCGCTTGGCTGCCCTGGAGTCGAGGCTCCGGCGCGAGTCGAGAACCGACTTGTCCGAAACAGCTCTCAGGTCCCCTGAATCACTGGTGTCGGGCACCCAAGCAAGCCATACAAGCCATGCGAGCCAAGCGAGTTCCTCGCCCCCCCACACTGCGGACATTACCGCGTTTGGAGGGTTTATGCCACCCTTTCACCAGCTATCTCCGCAGTTTACCATCGAAGAGTCCTCGAAACCGCTCGACCGCATCGTCTTGTCACCCCTGAGAGTAGAAGGGCCCGAGCTGGGGCTGATAGAACAGTTCCTCGGAGATGTGTGCGCAGAGCTTCCGTTCATGGGGATACAGTGGTTTATCGACCAAATGAGACTCCCCAGTACACATGCAGCCGGCGTACCAGAAGCCTGGTGGCAAGGCATTACCAACGCACTCGTCGCAAATGTTACGTACTTCAAGACATCCAAGACCCCCTTCCGAGAGGTAGCGGCATACGCCTGGACCTTTTTCCGCAACGCCTATGCCGTGCTCCCGGAGCTCATCCTCCACGGGAATAGCCTGGGCGCGGTGCAAGCTATCCTGGCCATGGCCATGTTCATGCGGCAGTCAGCAGATACGAGGGCAACAGCGCTCCTGTTCTCGCTCGCCGTTAGGATGGAACTATCGGCGGGGATAGATGTCAAGGCCGCCTCCGAGAGGAATCCGGATCCAGTCGATGAGGAGAATCGTAACCGGCTTTTTTGGGCTACCTTCATCCTCGACATGGACATGGCAGTGAACACCGGACTCCCTCCCGTGCACACGGAGGAGGTAGTCACGGCGGACCGGCCAGGTGGGCATTGCCTCAAGCATGGGTCATTAAACCCTGCAGATGCCCTTAGTCACGGGGGCTGGGGGGATATTGTCTTCAGGCTTAGGGCGGAGCTTGCTGGAATCCAGCGGCGCATCGCGACCCAGTTCACTGCTCCCGACCAGGCTGAGCTGTTCGCCTTAGAGGCGGAGATTGAGGCATGGAGCCTCCGTGTCCCGATCAGCATTCGCCCTGACTGGCCTGACAAACCCCAGACCATCGGCAGCGACGAGGCCGCGGACGTGTCCGTCGCCATGTTACACTTGGCCTACTACAACAGCGTGACCATGATCTACTGGGCCGCCATTCGGCATGCCAAATCGCAAATAGTGGAACCGGCCCCAGCCCTCGATCCTCCCCACGGCCCAGTGCAGGACGACCGAATGAGTGGCCACAAAAGTGTGGCGAGGGCCGCCTCCAGGGCCACTATATGCGCCATCTCACGATTCCCCACACAGGTATTTCCCGAGCTCTGGTAAGGATCTTCCTCGACGACCCAGCTCTTACCTTTCGACTATCACTAACCAACACGCCTCTAGGAGAGCATTGTACCACCCAGTTGCCGCCAGCATCGCCCTCTTGGCCCTCGTTTGCAAGGAGCCAACACACCCCGAAGCGCAGGGCGACTTGTTGCTGCTTGGTTGGTTTGCTGGGTACTTGGAAAGGATGGTGCGCGATGAGGGCTACGATTTGGAAAGAATGCGAGACGGGATCTGCACGTTCGAGAAGGTCGCGAGTCACGCTGTTAGCGCCGCCATGGCTTCTGACATGCCAGTCAACCCGGCGTTATGGCCCCTGAACGTGGCATCAGGCCATACCGGCAAGGCGAGTAACTTTGTCCCCTCAATTACCTTTTTCCGACTAACGGCTCCAATCTAGGCTCTTTCCATGATGGTTACATGCGCCTCGTACCATCCTATGTACCTAGCCCAGTGCTTCATGAGCAACACGCCAAATCGGGACCTCGACAACGCGAAGCAACTTGCCGATATCATGGGTCTCCAGTGGGGCAAGAATGATTACGGCCCTTTCGTCCCAGATTCCTTGATGCCAGCCACGTACGGGTTCGCTTTCGGCTCTAGCGGGTTCCGGTAGAAGATATGCAGGGGGGTTGGCATCCGGGGCACCCAATAACTATGGAGTGGTCGTTCGGTGCGGGCAGAACTTGAAGTTGCGGCCAAGGAGGTTAATCGATGGGACGTTGTGATACGGCCTATGCCGGAATGGACGGACGAGTAATCTCGCCTTCTTTGCCGTCCTTCAGCCTGGACAAGGACTTGAAATCAACGACAAGAGGAACATTAGCCGCTTTTTGCGGACAAAGCTCCAAGGAAACGGCCAGCTCAACCCGGCCCTGCCTTGTCAGCCACGCCGGGAAGCATACTCGATCGATCATCCACAATGCAGAGCAAAAAGACGAGTATTCAAACCCGGGGATCCTTCAAGGCCACTTACCACAATATACCGACCTTGTACTTCTCAGGCTCCCTAGAAAGGCGTACTGGGCACAACCGACAAAGTACATCCCGCCTCAAGCGCAAGCCCCATGAATAAACCTACCTAAGCCACGCGCGACGAACTCCACGCCCTGCAACGCCTACTCACCTGCTACTTTACCAATCTAGCGCACTAGCGGCCACGAATACGACGCGGGCGCGGTAGCAGCAGGATCAAATATCCCCCCCACTCTGAGCAGGCGGGCCGAGACCGGGAGGGAGGAGCTTCTTGAGCCAGGTGGGCATGAGATTGAGCAAGATCTAGAGGTAGAGATTAAGGAGATTTTTGATACGGACCACATGGTCCTGTTGACAGAACGGATGACGAGGGGGTAGGTTTGCCGATAACATCAGAAAAGTTGGGGTGTTAAGGACTCACCAGGCCCGTTCGCAGACTTTGACTGCCGTACCTGGTATTTATACTCCAGTACATAGGTAAACCGAACTTCACTATACCCTTAACCAGAAACAGTTCAATGAAGAATTGGGAAATATCCGACTAGGCAAGGTGATGGTGGGGAAGAAGCAACACCGTCATTGTATTACCATAGCTGATCCCTCTTTGACCGAATCATGTTTTGAGATGGCGTGCATCTGCGTATTTCCTTTTTGGGATTTATAAAATTACCTCCACGCTTGCCGTATATTGCTTTCCTGCTAAAAGTCGAGGAGATTCTGAAAGTGGCGGCCATTCGGGACCCGGCCTCGACCGGACATAACATAGGGGGATCCCGCTCGCAGCTTCCGGCATCCCCCCGATACTCCGAAAGGCCCGGACCACCGAGCTGAACGTACTTTCCGTTGAGCAATTCCGACTCGAATAAAGCCATCTCGTTCTTGACATCCTCTGGTGCTCGCCTTTCTTCCCGTACTTCATCATACACACAACACAAACACACAAATTCCGGCGACATCCCAGTCCTTTTACAGAACTCAACAAATCAAAAGACTTGTCTCATTAACCGCCACGATGGTTATCGCAATTCCCTCCGCAAGCTTGGAAGGCAAAGTTGCCCTAGTCACGGGTGCCGGCCGCGGTATTGGAAAGGGAATCGCCCTCGAGCTCGCCCGCCGCGGCGCTTCGGTCGTCGTCAACTATGTCTCCTCAGCTGGCCCGGCTCAGGAAGTGGTCGATGAGATCGTGAAACTCAACAACGGCGCCCGCGCCATCGCCATCCAGGCCGACGTGTCCGTGGTCTCCGAGATCGACCGGCTCTTCGCCCAGGCCAAGAAAACCTACGGCCGCATCGACATCGTCATGTCCAACAGCGGCACCGAGTCCTGGGACAGGACCGAGGAGGTCACCGAAGCGAAGTTCGACCAGGTCTTCAACCTCAACGCCCGCGCGCAGTTCTTCGTCGGCCAGGCCGCCTTCAAGCACCTCGAGCCCAACGGCCGGCTGATCCTCATGACGAGCATCGCCGCCGGCCTGCTGGGCGTCAAGAACCACGCCCTGTACAACGCCAGCAAGATGGCCGTCATCGGCATGGTCAAGGCCTTTGCCACCGACTTTGGCGTCAGGGGGATCACCGTCAACGGCGTCGCGCCCGGCGGCATCAAGAGCGATATGTTTACACAGAACGCCTGGCATTACATTCCTGGTGCCACGCCCGACACTCCCGCCAGCGATATCGAGAGGATGATGGCGGATCACTGCCCGCTGGGCCGATGTGCTGTGCCTGAGGATGTTGCACGCGTGGTGGCTTTTCTGGCGAGCGAGGACGGTGGCTGGGTCAACGGTGAGTGTGATCTATTACATTCGTTGGGTTGTTGGTCGTGAGCTAACTGTTTGGCAGGTCAGATTCTTACCATCTCGGGGGGCTCGTCCCAGTAAAGGTCTTTGGTGTGGGTTTGATACCTTCGATTAGTGCGTGAGGTTGGGAGTTTGCGTGTAGTACTGTTGAATTCGTTGATTACAGAACGGGAGATCATAAGAAGTTACGTATTCGTGGGCGTGATTGATTGATTACGAGCCAGGGTAAACTATCCTCCATAATATGGGTGAGGTCTGTGTTGACGAAACCCGTTTCCCGTGGTGTTGGTGAAGACCTGAGGACGTATTGTCTGGAATCCCCATGGGGATGAGGTGCCTGCAAGGTAGCGCAGCACTTCACCATCCTCCCGCTGCTCCCAAATCACTAGCCTCGCAACGGCTCAGACCGCTGACTCGGGCTTGGCCACCTCCTTGCCTTTGTCCTCCTTGGCATTTTCCATTTCTGTATCCTCATCGCCAAGAGGACTTGGGGCTTCCTCAATGGCGTCAAGACCGCTGGCTATCCGGAAGTCACCAACCCTCTTCATGACCTGAAAAACATGTTAGCACGCACCAGTCCTAGACATAAATTGGACGCATCAAGACCCCACCACAGCATAAACATACCTCAGCCAACATACACTCCACCTCACCCAACTCCTCCGCCACGGCAGCAGAAGAAGCCTCCCCACCACCCCCCGAAACATCCACCGCCTCCCCACCCCTCGCCTTCCGTTTCTTCGACCGAGTCTTCCTCCCCCCCTCACCGCCACTACCACCACTCCCCCCCGCACCGCCAGCAGCATCAGCAATAGCCGCCGCCGCCGCTATAGCCGCCGCACGCTCATGCCGCCTAGCCAGCGAGGTGACGCGGCCCTCGAGGAAGCGCACGCGGCTGCGCAGCTCGCTCAGCAGGCGCTGCGTCTCGTCCACCCGCCGGTTGGCGCTGCGGATCTTGGCAGCTGTGGTCTCGTCGTTGTCGCTGTGGACGAGGGTGGTGAGGGCCGTGAGGCGGCGGAAGAGGTGGGGGAGGAGGGTGTCGTGGAGCGCGGTGCGGTTTATGAGGTGGTCTGTTGGGGGGGAGGGGTGTTAGCTTGGGTTTGAGTTTGGGGGAGGGGTTGGGGTTGGTTTTGTAGGGGGTAAACGAACGGCGAGGAGGGAGGAAGGGAAGTGAGGGAGGTGTAGATGGTGGTTGTGTGGTTGTGCTGCTGCCAATAAGAGAGAGAAGAGCGGGTGGCTCGGGTATGAGATTGGGGTCGGAAAAGAATGGGAAATTTCGGTCATTTGGCCTTCGACTGGAGTGACTGTGTTGTGCTCTTCGAACAGCGGGGAATCGATTCATGTTGTCCAGAAGTACTCACCGTCTAGTTTCCAGCTTCGATGCCCGACGGGTTCCTCGGTGCACTGGGTGGTTGACCTTCTGGTTAGCGTGTTTCCAAAGATATGCCAAAGAAGATAGTAACCTTTTCTACGGCCATTAGGCGCCTGTGGTTGTACTGGTCTTCCAACAGCTTTAGCTTCTTTGCCGGAAGATGTAGGTCAGTACCCTCCGGATCATGGATGATCTCATTGAGCAGTAGTCCAAACTCGGACATGGTGGGCTCGTGTTTCTTCTCCATACCGCCGCTATCATCCATGTCATCCATGCCATCCATGTTGTTTGTCGTATCCATGTTAAAATGTCGGGGGAAGCTTTCGTGGATGGATGCGAGGGAAAAGTAATTTTGGGTGATTTAATTGGGGAAGTCTAGAAGAAGAGTTGGTGTGAAGAAATAGATCACTGCCCTTCAAGGCTTATTCACACAAAAGTCATCCGAATCAAGAAACCGGGTTAAACGGCAGCCTGGGGTCCGTGGGCTCTCTACCAAATACCGCGTTAGTCACGCCTATTCACCGAGGGTGAACAATAGATAATACTATTCATAAGGAAGTAGAAGCAACCTATCAATTGTGCGTACAAGAAAAGGCCGGGGTCAAGCCATACTCGCTTCCCGTTCTATCTCGTCAGATGGCCGCTCCAGTGGTTTCACCAGAGATGGCACAACCATAATATGACTTATTATTGTGCGTGAAGCAATCCATTGGCTAGAGGATTGTATTAGCAGGCTTTATAAGGCACTATGCACATCTAGTCAGGTAGTCAGGTAGTATAAGCATTCTGTGAACATCATTGCAGTTCCGTAGGGCTTGTTCCACTCCTAACCACTATGGTAAACCCATGAAGGACTGTGTTATAACTTCAATACGCCTGTGCCAGAACTCCTGATGATTGCTTCGTCATTCGGCAACCGAACGGGTCTTTGATTGGTCGCTTGAACACCACACATGATAAGGGCGTGTTATCCTTTTCTTCTACATGTAAGTATAAAAGGATAGAATAACGCCACCATACAACTTTCTCTTCCTCTCCCCTCCAAGTAACCCTTACCACGACCCGCTTTCTTTGATCTGTTTTCCTGAATTGTTCGCTTACCCGCCGCCGTCAGTACAACCATATTCTGCCTCTCCACTTGCTCCTCACGCCGTGTCCCTTGCGACCACAATCAACAGGTAGAAAATATCTACATCTGGGAGACTCGAAACGATGAGAATCACATCTAGCCAAGCACTGCACAAACCCTGCTTAACCCCGCTGCCTACCCAAGTTAGACCAGAAGCAGGGTTACTCGACGAGGACAGTGAGAAGCGAGTCCTTCGAGAAAAGCTGGAGACGATCGAGGCGCAGAGTCCCGATCAGCTAGCCAAGGACCTCAAGAAGTTCTCGGGCCTTTTCAACCAGAACCTCCAGGCCATAGCGACTGACAATCGCATCAAAGGTGCCAGTGGCAAGCTTCCGTTAATGAACCCCTCTGACCCTTTCGTGGGAAAGGTACGTTATCCTGGAATCTCATCACATTTTCAATTTCCATCATCCCACGTCCCATCTTGTTGTGCCTCGGGATGTGATGGACAACAAGTCCATTTTCATCGCGGTTTCCTCGATCCAGTTGCTAACTGAATACTCGATAACTATGTTAGAATGTCACAAAGAATACAAACCGCGTTGCGGCTTTTGTTCGCCCGACCAATGCCGTTACCACTCCCCTCCGCTCGGCGCGACGTTACCAGCCGTCTCGGATACCTGCCATCTTTACGCTCCCCGGTTTGGTGGTTCCTCCTCCGCCAGCAGCGCCCTATTTCCACCACGCCCCCCCGATGCCTCACAATCCACCGATGGGGCCGTCCGGGTTTCCGCCCAACACCGGCGGCGGCGGGGCCGGTGGCCGCCCCGTGGGGTACCCCACGTACAACCAAAGCAACCAGGCACCGGAGCCAGGCAAGGGGCTTCAGGGGCTGGCTCAGCGGAAGAATGGCCTGGCCATCGCAAATTCTTTTCTTGGTCCTCCCCGTGGCGACGTTCCCAACGGCGCTTGTGCCCGGTGCAATTACCCCAACCCAAGCCGAGGCAGTAACCACCACCCCCGTCCGAGCCAGAACGGTCCCCCCGTGATGCTCCCATATGGTCCCGGCGCCGGTCAACCACGAATGGCATCCAAGCCCTCGCTCACCGCGCACCCTCACGCCACCTCCCGGCCGCCTCTCCCGGTAGCTCAGAGATCCCAATCTTTCCGACCTCCCATCCCTGCGCCCCAGCCGGGTCAGCCAGCCTTTCCGCGGGTCATCCCCCACGGTCCCTACGATCCCCCGCCGCCCTTCCCGCCACGTGCAATTTTCAACCCCGCCGCTACTGGAACGACAGCAGCTCCTACCACGGGTCCGGCTCCCCCTGCGAATCTCATACCCCCACCGTACCCCGTCTCCCCCTTCTTCTCCCGGCGGCCAGCTCCACCCCCCAGGTTCGCCCCAAGGGAGACACCATACCCTGGATCAACCTACCACCCCCCCTATCCCTCCGCCGTTCCCCACGCCGGGTCCTATCACCCCTCCGCCATCCCCTACGCCCCTCCTCCCTACGTCCCCTACCCGCCACCCCATTATGCCCCCTACGCCCCCCACCCTCCCGCACCCCCTCCCGCTCCCGCCGTACCAGCCGCACCGCTTCTGCTCGGCCCGCTGCCCGGCCGCCCGGCCGCACTGCTGTGGTTTGATGCCGTGCCGGGGCTGAAGAGCCCTGCGTGGGTGGCGGTGCCGCAGCAGGGGAATGGGAGGCAGAAGTTTGTGCCGCGGCCGGTGGGGGGCGGGGCGAGGGGGTTGAGGGAGAGGGGATCGCCTTTGGAGAGGGGGAGGAGGGGGAGGAGGGGTGGGAGGGGGGTGTGGTGAAGGTGGTGAAGGGGGGTAGTTATGGGTGTTGATGGTAGATTTTGGTTCATTTGTTTTGATGTTTTTGGTGTTTTGTTTGGGTTGGGTTGGTTGTTTGCCGTTGTTTAGTTCCCGTGGTTGGAGACGATCCTGCTGTTGTGTACAGTTGTTAGTGCGGGTCGATCAGATTGATTAGAGGAGTGGAGATACAGTATGATAGATACCACGAGTATTTTTGGAGAATATCTGCCGGGGACATCATTGTTAGGGATAAATTACCCTGTAGACAGGGGAATAATAACACTGCCATCTACACTACATTGCAACAAACTGGGACGTCTTGCAAAAAACAACCACCAGGTTCAAGACAAGGCATTACCATATGTATTACTCATTACCAGAACAAGCTAACAGCAGACAATCTAGGTTTCCGCCTCGCCGTCTAGCAAGACGATATTAATCCCAAAAACTCCAACCCATTGAACCTTCCCCAATATTACCGGCTAGCAAAGGAGCCAAACTTTTCACCAAGTCACTCACACACATCCATCCCTCCTCATTACATCTCCCACCCACAACACCTGAAACCCCCCTCACCTCTTCCTCCTCACAGTCCCCATCCTCTCCAAGAGCCCCAAATCCCACCACCCCTCCACCATCATCCCCCACACCGTCCGCCTCTTCTTCCTCGGACTCACCCCAACAGCCCCAGCCTCACACCCTACAATACTCCCCCTCACCGACTGCACCCCGCCCAGCCCACTGCCCAACCCGACCTCCTCAAAACCCAACCCCCCCCTCGGCGGCGGCGAACAAACCACCACAATCGGCGGCGGCCGTTTCTTCTCCTTCTTCTCTTTCCTACTCTTGGATCCACTCTTAGATGACGACGACGACATGAGCCCGCCCAGCCCCAGCCCGATGCCCGAGCCGAGGGTGCGCAGCGGAGAGAGCGGCGAGCGCGGGATCAGGCCGGGGATGCGCGTGTGCTCGGCGGGGATGGTGTCGGCGGTGGGGGAGATAGGTGGAGGTCGGGGAGTAGAGGGATGATGCGGAAGGTGGGGGAGAGGGGGGATTT